CTCAGTTAACCCAAAACACCCGGTTCGCTGAGATGCCATCACGTGCGCACATTCACGCCGCAGTTTTGGTTGCACCTACGCCGGCTTCGCTGTGTAGCCAGCAAGACACACAGATAACCATCGATCACTTCAACGCCTACGGTTAACCACGATCCTCAGCTCTCAGCGCAAGGTTAGCGTACAGCTAACGCTCGCCGGAAACACGTGATTGTCTGTACTCATCTCACTCGATGACCAAAACAGACTCATGTGGCCCGTCGGTGCGTCCTTCATCAGTTTACGCTTGCACTCAACTGAGCCCTGTACTAAATCACTCGTCTGCCGAGAATTCCATACTTCCTCACCACTAAGGTGAGAGAGAAATTCGTGTTTCTACACGCGCAGTGACAGACAAATCCGAAACCGGATGCCGCCAACCATATATATATATATATATATATATATATATATATATATATATATATATATATATATATATATATATGTCTGGCGGCATCTGGTTTTGGATTTAGCTATCACTGTGCCCGGCCACAGGATGCCTGCGCCTACAGAGGGACCAGGCTGGCTTGCGCTGCACCGCCAACAATTCTACCCACACACCCCATATGAAGTGTAAACCCGAAGGAATAACACCGGGATGCATGTGGATGGGAGGCGCTTTTCATCAACGGAGCGGCCCACATTCCTTCAACGTCAACTTCAGCAGCGTTCCTAATTATCTATATTGGGAATCACGTGTAACAGACGTACACAAGGCGTTGGCTGAGCCGTAGTCCGCTCCACGCTCGATCGAACCACACTTTAAGCCTAGCACGGCCACAAGTACTCTGCATGATAGTCAGGATCAGCTGATACTTTCACTACACGCCACACAGTGATAGGAGGGCTATATCCCGTCCCTTGACGATGCCACGCTTTAAACTTTACACCCAATACCTGTCACAGTAACGATTGCTGGTCTCATGGAGCCAGGTATTTGAGTTAAGGTTTTGGGCGGGTCAACGCATTTTTCAGCGACCTGATACACAAGCTCCATAGACGTTGTCTGTTTTACATCTTTGATGAGCGAACCATTAGTAGTCAGTAGTCTATCAAATAGACATAGAGCTAAACGTAACCACGGAAATCACTGAAACACAGGTTGAACACCGTAACAGCAACATGGCACATTAACTGAAGGTGAGCAACACACTTCAGCTCTTGTGCCGCAATATAAAAACAACGGAGCATTTTTTTGTTATTTTTGCACACGCCATTTTTTAATTTTTTCGTCGTTTTTAATTGGTAAGCATTAAGTTTCCAAATCTAAGCAGTTATATACACAAATCCTCCACTGGTTTCGATTGCGAGCCATATCCTGATTTTTTCCAGTCTTCGGCACTCCTCGTCCTTTGGTCCCCAACTTAGAAAACGTGGATCCAATAGTGGCAAAACGTGAAGTCAGCGATTTTATTTGCTGCCGCCAGGTGGATGGTGAACCACCACGTGATCTCTTCCAGTTGAGTCCTGCACGAGCAAACAGAGCGCGATTAGGCAAACAGTCAGCTGACATACGCAGGACATGACCGAGCTATGGCGCAGCAAAACCAGATTGTTGAAGGGAATACTCGCAATCCCTAAGACACGGCGTCTGACTTCATTGTTGCAAATTTGTTGTTGCCACCACACGCGAGCAATCCTCCTCAAGCACCCGTTGTCGAAGGCCGAGAGCCGGTGCATATCGTCTACGCGAACTGGCCATGACTCGCTTCCATATAGCAACACCGCCCGAACGTTGACATTGTAAACACGACCCTTTACCAAGAGGGAGATATCCCGGCGACGCCACAAGTGCTGCAGTTTGACAAACGCCGACCGAACTTTGGCGATGCGAAAAGAAACTTCCCTTCTAATGGTACCACCAGCAGACACAGCTGCCAAGGTAGACAAAGCTATCCACTTGTACAAGCTGTGTACCTTCAATATAGAGCACGGGAACAATTGAGTGCACAGGGCAAAGCACATTCCGTACCTAGATGCCTTAATCGCTAAGCGGTCTAAAATGTTTTCCATGCTCTGTGGGTCCTCGCCAAGTAAGGCAATATCATCGGCATAATCTAAGTCAGTTGCTCGCTTGCCCAGGAATAGCTGTACATCAGCGTTTTGGCAACTGTCTAGAGCTCTCGACAACATGTTTTTTAATTGCCAAATTGAAGAAGAACGGGGACATAGGGCACCCTTGTCGTACACCGATATTGACAGCGAAGGACGAGGAAAGCCTGCTTGCCATACACCCTCACTCTGCCAGAGATGTGGTAATACAATGCGCGTAGGATGGCAGTGTACTTTTCTGGGACACGGTTCGTTAGCAAACAACGCCATAGTGCAGGTCGATCAACCGAGTCAAATGCGGCACAGATGTCCAAGAATGCAGCGATGGTAGGTTTCTGCTAAAGGTGGCGGTGTTCCAGCATTTGACGGAGTGTGAATACCTGATCCACACACCCGCGGCCAGGTCGGAAGCCAGCTTGTTCTTCTCGGTACTGTGATTCGCAAATGGGCGATAGTCTACGGAGTAGAATGGATGCTAATAGCTTGGACGCAACCGAAATGAGACTAATCTCCCGGTGATTAGTACACGAAGTGCGAGCACCTTCCTTAAAAAGCGGGACAATAACTGACTCGCCCCAGGAAGAAGGCATCTTCTCTTCATGCCAGATTTTGGAGAACAATAAGGTTAGCTGACTGATGATAACTGAGCCTCCATGTTTGAACAGATCCGGAGGAAGTCCGTCTGCGCCGGCAGCTTTGAATCGTCATAGGTGTCAAATCGCAAGACAAACTTCCGCTTCACTGGGTGGACCAAGTGTGACGACTCAGGGCAGGCAGCTGCGTTCGCAGGGAATATAAGTGGACGGTGAGGGCCAATTAAACTGGTAATGAAAATGTTCTGCCCATCGGTACAAGCGTCTCTGTAAATTGGCAATCGGCGAACCATCCGCTTCGCATACGGTCTCACTGACACCAGGCTTTCTGTGGCCACTGGATCGAATGAGCTGCAAAAGCTTGCAAGTATTGCCAGAGAGGGCAGTGGTCTCCATTTTCGAAGCACGCTGGGACCACCAGGCTTCACGGTCACTGCGTAGGCACTGTCTGTGCTGCCGACTGACAGAACGGCGCACTTCATCATGATTAGACTCAACTGGGATATTCCTGCGGCGGTCAAATAAATCCAAAGAATTCTTGGAGATCCAGACCTTCATACAGTGCTGAGTGAGACCACAAACTTGCTGTCTTGAAGAGATCATGGTCCTCTGCACGCACGTCCAGTGTTCATCAATATCTTGCGGTGGCTCGCAGCCAGGTGCACCTGCCAGGGAAGCTTGATAACTCTGATGAACCGAAACGGTAGATAGTTTATTTGTGTCTATCTTACAGCGCTTCCTTTTCGCGGACCATCCGCAACTCATGCAGAGGTTCGCCCAGCCAAAAGCATGGTTTGAGTCAAGAAAAGGGGACCAGATGGATCTACAGTCCTTTACACTGCCTCCTTGTCTGAAACTGTGCGATATGATCAATCTAAGACCATGATTGAGACGCGGAAGAGGGTCGCCAAGGTACGGAGCCTCTCCTCGAACCCCGAAAGTTGATGCTCGAGAGAAAAGATGATTATCTTCGCACAGTGTGCGAAGTCTCTCTCCATTATCTAAGCGGCTCTTATCGAGCGTATGGTGACCAACTAGGTGACTTTCGCATGCCAGCAGACGACCGACCCATGGATTGAGACCCTCAGTAAGGACAACAATGTCCGGATTTTCAGGCTCTGCTTAAGAGCTGATGTAGTTCTCGGTAGAAATCGTCCTCGACGGAGTCGGAACTACAGTCATTTGGAGCGTAAGCTGAGGTCACAAATAACTTGCGTCTCTCCTCACGACATCGGTTTATCTTGCATGATCCCCTAAGCCGAACTGCACACAGTCGGCTATTAATCGGGAACCAGTGCAGCAGCGCTGCCTCGGGTTTGCTACTTAGCCCTACATTAACGCCAGTAAAGTCAACCGCAGCTGCGTCTACGTCACCAGATGGATGTGGGTGAAATATGGCTCCGTGGTCAGTGGGAGGTCTCAATTCAACCACAGTACTGGGATCTCATAAGCGCGTTTCGCAAAGACAGCAAGCATCGATGGCGAGAGATTCCAGGGTGCGCGCGATGAGCGAACCAAACCTGAAGCGTATGTGCGTCATCTGACAAAACTGGGAAGACTAAGAGGCGTTCTGGCCCTAGCCAACTTTTCTGCCCATAGTTATATTATCGTTGCAGAGCACTCGGGAATCGAGTTCTTGCTTCGAAATGTGCTCATTCTTCCCAGCGGATGGATAAACAAGGCTTACCGCACGAACGCGCTTGATACTCGGATGTATGATCCATCCATCGGATTGCATCTAAGACATTTATTCCTCATATCGACAACAGCTACACTTTGACACCAACAGACGTTTGAAAAGAACTTGCGCATAAATGCACTCGATATGATTCATTGGTGCACAGTTAATCGGTTGTCAACTTGACACGTGGCTAGGCATTGGCTCTCCAGTTAGTCAGTTCTCTAGAAATTCTAGGTTCTAATCGTATGATTCGACATTGTGAAGCTACTTACGCGAATCTATCCATGTTATGCTTGAAGTGTGCACTCAGCACGAGTCCAGTTGCTTTGGCGTTGTTCGGGTGTTGATTTGGGCTGGTCGCGAGCCACTTCTGTAACGCCTATTCTGTCCAGCCAGTTTGTTTTCACCACTCTCCGTGTAATTATAGTTGAATCGGATTTTCAAACGTTTTGTTTTTACACCGTAGCCTTTCTCACAACAGACCTCCCGAGATAAACCACTATTTACTCTTCTTTTCATTTCTTTCTCTCATTTCCCACACAACTTGCTTTTTTCCTTTGGAAACAAATTGCACGGGTGGTTAAATTTTAGGCGTCGTACTCGGGTTTTCCGATTTCATCTAAATCCTATTTCTGATGCTCCTTCAGATATCACTAGATCTCCTGCTCAGCATTCGTTCCATGCACCCATCCAGTGACGTCAATGAATTGGATTCTGATGAAAAAGTATGGTCGAGCTTCGAGAACCAACTAGATGTGAGCATTTTTCACACCGAACTGGTTTATTTTGTAGAATATTTTCCTCATTTTATCGTCCACCAACTCTTCAGCTGACGCAGATGCTTCTGAAACGCGGCACGGTCTGAACGAAAAGCATATGCGTTCTTTTTTAAACACATGTCGGGACCTTGATTCTTGGTTCGTTAAAATGCGGTTTTTGCTTTCCACACGATACCCTGATCTTGTTCTGCATGAAGTGAGTGTGTGGTGTTTTCAGTATTTCCTAGGAGCTCGATATCATGCGGTCGGAAATCGTTCGGAAGGAAAAATTGATAACTGAGACGAAATTGAAACTGAAACAGTATTCAGAATGTATAGCTGTCATAGTTGAACAGGTTTGTTTAACCTCTCGTTTTAATTTACTACTAGATATCCAAAGATCTTTCCCATTGTTCATCAATATGAATAACGGAAAATCGGGCAAAACTCTTTCCCATTGTAAATTACTTTGTCGCAACTTTTGTCTTTTTAAGCGAACCATACCGGATAGTCCGTGACAATGAGTAACGGATCCTCCTTTCCACAGTGATCTTTCGCTACGCAACGAAACAAAGGCTACAAGCCTCATAAACAGTATTAATAAGCGATATGCATTGGAAACGATCGTTATTGTCCCGCCGACGCTTACTGTTAGGAACATTGCTAATGATCCTTCAACGCGTTCTCGATGCCCATAGATCTGCTGTTTATATCTCTGCGTTACACACTATGCATTTGAGTTATAAGCTTATCTCATCTTCTACATGAGTGACTTTGGATTTTAAAACCATCCCGGTTGTTCTATCCTGTGTACAGACCGTTATCGGTGAGCTTTGCGTTTATAGATAACGTAGGTGCCTATTTAGGCTCCTGCACGGTACGTTTAATACAATAATGTGAATTAGAAGTGAGTTCAGCAGTCATTTGCCACTGCTTCAGGTCACGTGTGACGGCTGTTGCGTCAGTACCGTGTTCGACTCCAGGGTCATCGATTTTCTTCTCGTCCTCTGAACATCTATTTACGGACTCCAATTCGGTCGAATTCATGCATTCAACGTATTTTTTCTACCATCCGCTTTTCTATTTGTGTATGGCTTCCGAACCTTGGGCTGAGTAATTTGAAAATTAATTTAATCGGCCACACCAGTGATCGCCCTGCCGTTTTCACTCAGAAGTCAAACGTAAGATCCGACTGTGTTGCATAACATTAGATGATCCCGCAAACATACGACATTGCACCGCGAACTCCAATACGTGGGCTGTGACACGCGGAGTCCATTTCCTACCCACAGCGCAGCAACTTCTAACCAGTCCAAGATAATGCACAGCCGCGTCAAAATGAACAATGGTCTTTTACAAACCACCCATCCGACATGGTGATTCTTTTCTTCCACAAAGTGAACTGTTGTGCCAACCGTGTTCAGCCTTTGTGGGTCGTACAAGAGCTCTCAAGGGTTCACCTCGCCTTCTTTTTTCTTTGGGGTTTAGTTGTTACTTGCGCAGGTCATGTGATTGTGCGTCATCCTGTCGGCCGACTTCATAGGCGCGTCTAGTCTCTCGGACTAGTATACATCGTTTGTCTGCTGTCGCAGACACAGTGCGTTAGACGAGTCAGTGCGTTGACCCGGACTCGTGCTACAGCACCACATGCAGCTTTGCTGCTAAGCCATCGCGTTCAGGGAAGATCATATTTATTACAGACTGCTAGAGCTGTATGAGGCCCCAGGACTAGTTTGGCCTCTAGTCCTCTTCATGTTTGAAGGACCTGCTATTATCTATGATTTCTACGATCTGTTAATGAAACTGGGAGAAAGTCTATCCCAGGAAACTGGAACCGCTCCGTTATAGTCCCAATTTTCATGGGAAGCTCACGATTAGAATTATGCCGTCATAGTGGAATCAGCCTGATCTCCATCACTTCTAAGTTAGTCTATCATTTTCGTAGACTGACTGGCACCCGTGAAAGTCAAATTCGTGAAGCGGAAGCCGGGTTTCATCTAGATCGGGCCCACATTGACTATGTCTTCACTATACGCCGATTGTTGGAGCACCGTCACAGATATTGGAAGCCACCCGTAGTCATGTTCATGCATATCAAAGGTGTCTTCTGTTCGACGGGTTGATGTGCCCTTTGGGACTGCGTTCTCAGGAAAGGTTTACTTGGTAAATATGTAAATGTCATAAGTGCGTTACATGCGCGTAGCTCGGGCACAGTGAGGGCTTTTGGTAAACTGTCGCTTCCATTCACTATCTCCAGCGGTGTGTAACAGGGATGCGCGCTGTCAGCTTTCCATTTCAACTTTGCTACTGACGAGATTATAAGAACCGCGTTCCCTGGGCTGGTCTAATTATATGTGCTGATCGTAGGTGCTCCAGTTCTTGATTTTGAGTCTATCGAGTATGTCTGTGGGAGCTCACAAACGTGCCAAGCAGATGTGGGCGGATCAGCACTGGCTCTCAGTCATTACGGACTGTGCTTTCCACCTTCCAACTGCAATGCATTCCTGCATGATTGGTAGGAACCAGGCCATTGGTGGGGATCAGCTAGCAGTCTTAGTAATTTAATTACCTGGGCGGCTGTTGGATAACATGAGGTCACAGGTTGTATGCAAAGGCTCGAGGTGCTTTTACTAATCTTCGTCACTTGCTGCGCAGACGCGACACCACCTTTGACCGTTCAGAATAGTGTCTACAATGCAGCCGTCCATCTACTTCTCCTCTACGGCTGTGCAACAGCCCATCAAATCGATAAATGTATCAAGACTAGTTTGGCTGGAAACACTCTCTGATATGGCAAGAAGTCGTAAGCAATGTCGGACTTGTTGTGACTCTATTCCCATGAACACAGTTTTTCTTCCCCCTTCGTTTTTTCTTGTACTTCCCATACGTTATGGCACTGCCAGTTGTACTGCTCGGTGAGCAGCGCAATACCCACAGAAATGTTGAAGGCTATGGCGCGCAGCCGGTATCATTGGAGACAGTACTGTTCGATTGCTTTGTCTATTGGATAACGTCTCATCCAACATCAAACTCCAACACAAATCATCTCAAAATGGGCCTGTGCAAAACCGCAAAAAGTCATTTTCTTAACATGTACTTCTTTTCATCTTATAGTTTACCATGGTTCTGATGGCGCATTATATGTTATCAGATTTAGGATATATATATATATATATATATATATATATATATATATATATATATGCATCAGTGTGGGCAGGTGTTATCGGTTCGCATGGGATTGGTTCAGCGAATGCGAATGGTGACAGGCTGCTCTCACTGTGTGCCACTCACGGCCTGACGATTACGAACACTCGGTTTGCACTGGGTGCGAGTGATATAGCGACTTGGACGCACCCACGGAGTGGCCATGCTCACCGGCTCGACTATGTCATCGTACGTCTGCGTGAAGTGCGCATGACACGTGTACTGCTTGGAACTGAGTGTGGCACTGATCACAAATTGGTGCGCACTAAACTGTGCATATATTTTCGTAAATCTATGTATTGCACTCCCGCCGGCGTAAATGTAACATTCTCTCCCTCGGTACTGGGGCGAAACGTACTGAGTTGGAGAAGGCGATGGCTGCACACCTGTGTGACGTGGACTGCATAGCCACAGTAGGCGACCTGTGGCACCACATTCGCAACCAGGTGACAGCTGCTGCCGAGGAGACCATCGGGCGCGCAAACTGTAAGCGGCCTGATTGGTTTGATGAGAACAATGCGACGATCGGCACATTGGTGTCGGAGAAGAATGCAGCATTTGCTGCACATGTGGCAGACCCCAGTGACTTGGGGAAGAGTAGTCAGTTTCGCAAACTTCCCCGGCGACTGACCCAAGAGCTCCGTCGCATAAAAAATGCATGGTGGACGGAGAATGTGAAGCAGATGGAATGCCACGCCGAACGCCGCCAACACAAGGAATTCTTTGACTCCTTGGAGGCGGTGTATGGACCGAGATTGGAGCCGCTGAGGACACTGATCGATGGTAGTTCAGGCGCTACCTGCACACAAACTGCAGACATAATGCGGAAATACTTTGACTGTCTCTTGAACAACCGTTCAGAGATCGACTGGCCTACATTGAACGGCCTGAAGCAGCCCGATGTGAGGACGAGTCTGGCGGACACGCCGACACTGGACGAGACGCATAGAGCACTTGCTCAGCTGCGAAACGGCAAGTGTGCTGGGGCCGCCAGAATCCCGGCTGAAGTATTGAAACACGGCGGACCCGCGTTGGTGACTGCGCTGCACCACTTGGTGCAACGTGTATGGATTGGGGAGGAGGTGCCTCCTGAGCTGAAGGATGCCCTTGTGCTACCACTGTACATGGGCAAAGGTAGCAAGCAATGTTGCACGAATTATCGTGGCATCAACTTGCTGAGTTGTGTGGGCAAGGTGATTGCCCGAATCCTGCTCAATCGCTTTGTCAGTGAGGTTGTGGGACCGAACGTGGCGGAAGAGCAGTGTGGATTCCGTTCAGGTCACAGCACTATAGATATGGTGTTTGCGGCTCGTCAGTTGCAAGAGAAGTGCAGAGAACGCCACCAGCCATTGTACTCGCTTTTTGTTGATTTCACCAAGGCATTTGATACGGTGAGTCAATAGGCATTGTGGCTGGTGTTGGGTAAGTTTGGTTGTCCGCGTAAGTTTGTACGTTTAATTGGATGTCTGCACAGTGGTATGCTAGCTAGGTTGCAACTAAGTGGAGAGACCTCGGATGACTTTTCATTTATCTCTGGTGTGAAGCAAGGCTGTGTCTTAGCTCCGGCCTTGTTTAATATATATCTGCATGCAATAATGTCTTGCGCATTTGATGCCGCTTATGCTTACGGTGTTCGTGTGGAGCACCGTATTGATGGTGGGTTGCTGAACATCCGTCGTTTCGGTGTGAGAACCCCAGTCTGTGAGAGAACTATCCGTAGGTTTCTGTTTGCTGACGACTGTGCGTTGCTTGCACACAGCGCGGATGAGTTGCAGCACGTGACTAGTGATCTGGTTTCGACAGCGGCCAGATTTGGGCTCACCATCAACACAAGCAAAACTACTGAGAATAAAGCCTTACCAGAATTACAAGCAAAGTTGTCTGTCTCTTTCAGCCTTCACCGGAAGTGCAATCTACAATGGTGCCATGAGTAAGCATTGATGCTAAAGTATTGGAAATCACCTCCTGCTTCTGCTACCTTAGGAGTGTGATGTCAACGGACCAGCTTCGTATCCGCATCTCCAAGCCATCGGAGACATTTGGAAAGCTAGAGTACCGAGTGTAGAACGACCATCAGCTTACCGTTAGCACGAGGTTGATGGTGTACAAATCCATGGTGCGACTTATTCTGCGCATTGCTTCGTGCGACAGAGTTGCGGACACGGAAGTGTTACGCCGAAGTTTAATGTATGCAGTGGACTGCATATTGTTGCTAAGACACCTGAGGTGGCTCGGTCATGTGTGCCGTATAAATTCGACCCAGATACTAAAATAGCTATCAAATAGCTAAATGTGTGGAAGCGGCATATGGGGAAACTGAAGCTTCGTTACCAAAACATGATCAAAGCGAGCCGATCACGTTCTACTCTTGATTGCAGGTCATGTGAATCGAAGGTGGTTCGTCGGCGTGCATGGCGCGATCTGATCACGAAGGAAGTTGCTGGAAAACAGGCGGCGGTTGCGGAAGCGGCAGACGCCGATGGGTTGTTGTTAGGTCTCGTACGATATACTCGGGGAAAAATTTCACTGT